ATATTACAAGAAAGCTACAGACAAATATCTCTCATGAATATAGATGCAAAGATCCTCAACAAAATAGTAGCAAATCAAACTCAATAATGTATAAAAATAATTATACACCATGACCAAGTAGGATGTATCCCAGGTATGCAAGGCTGATTCAACATTCAAAAGTCAATTAATGTAATCCATCACATCAACAGGCTAAAGAAGAAAAATCACATAATGACATCAATGGATACAGAATATCATTTGACAAAATCCAGCACTCATTCATAACAAAAACTCAGTAAACTAGGGAAGCGCGGAATTTTCTCAACTTGATAAAACTCTCTATCGACAAAATATCTACAGAATCTCTACAGCTACATCACACTTCATGGTGAAAGGCTTGAATCTGTCCTACTAAGATCAGGAAGAAGGTGAGGATGTGCCCTCTCACCACTGATTTTCAGCACTGTATTGGAAGTCCTAGCTAATACCGTGAGACAAGAGAAGGAAATAAAAAGGTATGCAGATTGGGAAGGAAGAAATAAAACTGTCTTCATTCACAGATAACCTGATTATCTATGTAGAAAATCCAAAAGAACCGACCAAAAACTCCTGGAAGTATTAAGCAGTAATGGCAAGGTTCCAAGATATAAGGTTAATATAGCATTGAGCTCCTTAGTATCTGCCCAAAGGAATAGAAAATGTATGTTCACATAAAACCTGTACATGGATATTTATAGCAGCTTTATTCATAATTGCCAAGACCTGGAAGCAACCAAGATTTTTTTCACTAGATAAATGGATAAATAAACTGTAGTACATCTAGACGGTGGAATATTACTCAGCGGTAAAAAGAAATGAGTATCAAGCCATGAAAATACGTGAGGAACTAAGTGAAAGAAGACAATCTGAAGAAGCTAAATACTATATTATTCTGGAAAAGGCAAAACTATGGAGTCAGTTGAAAGATCAGTGATGGGCAGGGATTAAGAGGAGAGAGGGATGAATAGGTACAGCACTAATTTTATGAAGGAGGAGGAACAATTGAATAGCAGTGAAACTACTTGGTATGACATCATAATGGTAGATGCATGTCATTCATTATGCATGTTTCCAAATGCATAGAATGTGCAACAGCAAGAGTGAAGCCTAATGTAAACTGTGGGCTTTGAATGATAGTGATGTGTCAGTGTAGCTTCTTCAATTGTAGCAAATGTGCCATTCTGATGGAGATATTGATAATGGGGGAGATTATGCATGAGTGGACATAGGGGACATGTGGGAAGTCTCTGTATTTTATGCTCAATCTGGCTGTGAATTAAAGCTGCTCTGGAAAATAAAATCTATTAGAAGGGGAGGTGGTGAGAAAGAAGAAAGAAATAGAATGAATAGGGGCCACCTAAATTTAAAATATACCACCCCAAACCCAGAACTCAAAGAGAGTCAGACTAATACATTTGCCTGTGTTGAACAAAAACAATCCTACTTGAAAAATACTCAAAGGCAGGTGACAAACTAAGAAAATGTGTGCATGGCACATGTCAGACAAAGGGCAGATTTCCTTACTATAGAAAGAATTATACAAATCAGTAAGGATCTGATATTTCTATACACTAGGCAAAAGTATGCAAAAGCACTTCCCAAACAAAGGAAAACAGATGCTAGTAGCTGTGAAAAAGTTGTCTTGCTCGTAATTACTTGAGATCAAATTAGACACAATTTTTCAGCTGTCACATTGGTTAGGGTATGGTGCACACACGTGTACTTTTTCTTCATGGCACTTCACACAGTTGCACTTGTACATTTATTTGTGATTACCCGAGCCAGACTTTGTTGCCCGAGCCAGACTTTGAGCTCCATAAGGGTAGGGCTTGTGTGTTGTTTGTCTTGTCTGCAAATTGTACATTGTCTGGGCTCAGTAGCTATTTGTGAATGAATAAGTCAATAAATAAATGAGAATGGACAGAAAATTCTGAAACCTTACACGACAGAGAACAGTGGTTACTGGTGGAGAGGAAAGGAGGTTGCTTTCAGTTTACCATTTTATCCCCTTCTTAGCGTTGAAGTTTTTTAAATGGGCATGGATAACTTTCTAATTAATGCTTTGAAATTAGCTAGCTTACATTTTTTTAAATTTAAATTCAAGTTAGTTAACATAGCTTACATTTTTTTTTTAATGAATGGCTAAGATGGGAGAAAGATGAAGAGTGGACAGAGGATGCATGGAGGCAAGCTTCCAACTTCCTACATTATCTCAATATGTTGATAAGGAAGCAAAGAGTCAGCCTAGGCGGGATGCTGTCAACACAGTGCTGAGGGGTCAGGAAATCCAGCCACGTGCCCTGCTCAGCCACACCAAGGAGCTGGATAAGATCTTGAGGCTCGGACAGAAACGGAGAAGGATCAAGTGGGTATCAAGGGTCCAGGAAAGCCAGAGGTCAAATCTGAGACACCCACTGAGCCAGAAAAGACCCCCAGGCAGCACTCTGAGTCCAGGAGATCTGAGAGGCAAAGAATGTTATGGGGCAATGTGTTGATCTGGGTCTGGTGGCAGCCTGAGCAGGGTGCCATTCTCTGCCTCTGTCATATCTCCCACTGACTATGGACGAATCTGGGTGTTTGATGGTTATTCTGTCCAGAACACTAGCAATGAGTCCTGACCTCCTGGAGGCAACAAATGAGGCCAGAGGACTCAACTGTCCCCCCTTTTCATGATGTACAAGCCCCTCAGCAAGGCACTGAAGCCCATCCGTGATCCAGTCTCCACCTACCTCCCTAGTCACCACCTCACTGTGATTTTCAGTCCAGCGCCCCAGCTGATTACAGTCCCTACAGTGCACCAGGAGTTTCCTTGCCTCTATGCCTTGGCTTTTGCTGCTTTGTCTGGTTTGCCCTTCTCTCCTTCACCCCTAATACGGTTCACCTAGTGAACATCAGCTCATCTATGAAACCTTTCCTGACACACCACCCAGGTGGGGAATATCCCGATTCTATTTGTGTCACCTGTGTAGCATGTATGGACTTCTCTTATAGCACCTGTGACACTCATGAGCATGTGTACTTATCCCATTAGATTATGAGTTTCTCATAACATCTCAGGACAGGGTCTGTGTCTTACTTTTCATTGTAATCCAATCTGGCAGATTATATGGGAAGGAAGGAAGGAAGGAAGGAAGGAAGGAAGGAAGGA